ATCTCAATGTCTTATATATTTTCTTATCTCTTTTGAGTGTTTTTTAGTTTTTTAATGTTTTATTCATTATTTTTATGTGTATGAGTAAGTATAAGTATAAGTAAGTGCACTTGTGGCATGCAATGCCTGCCGAGGTCAGAAGACAGTGTCAGATTCCATGGAACTGGAGTTATGAATGGTTGTTAGCCACCATGTGGGTGCTGGGAATCAACCCAGGTCCTCTGCAAGAACGGACAGTGCTCTTAACCACTGAGCCAGCTCTCCAGCCCTGTTGCTTGGTTGGTTGGTTGGTTGGTTGGTTGGTTGGTTGGTTCATTCGTTTGTTCATTCATTCGTTCGTTCGTTGGTTTTTGAGGCAGGGTCTCACTCTAGCCCAGGTTGACCTAGAATTTACTCTTCAGCCTCAAACTCATGGTAATCTTCCTACCTCCTCCATCTCCTACAAGCACTAGGATTATAGGCATGAGCCATGTCTGCCATTTTCTTGCCTTTTGATTCTCCAGCTGATTGTAAACTCACTGAGTTCAGGTCACTCATCTGAACTGCTTATTGTTGGGTTTCAGCACTCATTATAAGAAGTACTTAATAAATATCTTTGAATTAATGATGATAACTATAGCGTACATAACATTGACACTGACTGCATAGCGAATCTCGAAGGTAGGTATATTTTTCCCCTCATTTCATAAATGAGGTTATGTAACTTGACCTCAACAAATCTACTAAATGGAAAAGTGAGAATTTGAGCCCATGGGAACTACTAACTCCTTGAAGACTGTGACTCTTCTGTTTTATTCATTTTATTAAATCCTTACTGCCTAACTAGTACTCAGTAAATGTTGAGGAATGGAGGTTGTTAACTAAGTACATCATTTTCCTTTTTAGAGAAACTATACTTTATTTTCAATGATTATTTTATTCATGTGAGGTATACACTTTATAATCCGGAAAGCTTGACATGTACTACGTGTGTATAGAGACATTACTGTAGATTTTCTAACACATTGAAGACTTTGGTATTCTGTTAGCATAAATCAGTTCTTCAAATCAAAGATAATAGCTTCATTAAGATAAAATACCTGTGGGCTCAGTGGTTAAGAGCACTTAACAATTCTTGCAGAGTTGCCCCCTCTCTCATTTGGTACCCAGCACCCACAAGGCATCTAACAACCATTTGTAATTTCAGTTCTAGGAGATCCAACACCTTCTTCTGGCCTCTGCAGACATTTCACACACATGGTATACAGACATGCATGCAGGGAAACCACTCACACACATAAAATAAAAGTAAAATAAATAAATTTTTAAATACCTGGAAAAATAATGCAATGTATGAAAATCTAATAAATAATTTCTAGTATCAAAAGATGACCAATTATTTGTTTATTGCTTAAGAATCTCTCACAAATATTTTCTTAGGCTACATATATCTATAGATATCCTAATATCTTTAAAATATGAATTTATTGAATTTCCTATGGCAAATTTAGAAATACTTAATGACATCTATACTTTTAAATTTTTTCTTTTCGCAGATATGGGGTATGGACAATTAAAGCTAAATATAAAGAAGATTTTTCAACAACTGGGATCACATACTTTGAAATTAAAGAATATGGTAATCACTGATGATTACAAGTTTTGTAGCAATTCTTTTCAATAATGTACCCAATGCAAAATCACTCATAGATGGAGATGAGGCAGCCAGCTGGGATGTTTGAGAGTACTGGTGGGGGATGGGGGTGAAGGTAGTTGTAGTTGTTTGAGTAAGGAGGATGTAGTTCCAGCTTGTTCTGTTAACCTTGAAGAAGCCAACCAGCCCCTCTGGATTCCTGCTGTTCATGATGGAGCTGAAAGAGATGTTCACCTGTTAAGGTCCTTTCTAGAATTACAGTTTTAGGGTAAGCAAATAAGAAGTAAGGTAAATAGAAACCAGTAAGACAAATATATAATTCATTCAAGTCTTTTTAATAGTCTATTTATTATTTTTACGTGTATGAGTATATTACCTGCATGTGTGTAAGTGTACCCATGTTGTACAATGCCCATGGATGTCAGAAGAGGGCATCGGATCCCCTGGAGCTAGAGTTATAGAAGTTGTTAATCACCTGGGAATCGAACCCAGATCCTACAGGAGCAGCTAGTGCTCTTAACCGCTGAGCCATCTCTCCAGCCTCTCAAGTCTTACAATGTGAAAGAACAAAAAGAAGTGGGCTTCTTTACCCCTCATCCAGAGGCACTTTGGCTACTCTAATTCAGTGACAATAGAGCCTCTCCATTTCTCTTTTCAGTCTTGCCACGTTTCTCCGTTTCAATAGAACCAGAAAGCAATTTCATTGGTTACAAGAATTTTAAGAATTTTGAAATCACTATAAAAGCAAGGTAAGAACATTACTTTTTTTTTCAGATCAGCCACCTAAATTGAGTGCCAATTCTGGTTGGTAATAACTGTCCAAACTGCAGTCTGTGATTTCCTGACTGAGGAAACATCATGCTAATAGTCTATTTGCCCATCTTGACTTTAGCTTTGCTGATTATTCACTGAAAAAAAAAAAACCCTAAAGCTTGAAGCTCGTTGTGTCCATTTAGACACTAGCATGACTCGGGATATTAGGCCTGAAATACAAAGTCTTCGCTTTTTATTCTGTTTTTTTGGTATAGTATTTTATTAATTCTTTGAGAATGTTATACATGCATACAATGTCTTTTGATCACATCCACTCCACACTTCTCTCATTGTTCTGGTCAAATACCTGAAAAAGCCCCTTATGGGAGGAAGGATTTATTTTGGTTCATTGTTAGAGAAGGTAATGTCCATCAAGGCAAGAGGGCATCATGGAATTCATGGAGATGGGATCATGGGCTGGGGACTCCTAACATCTTGGCAATCCAGGAAGCAGAAAGAGGACAGGAAGCAGAGCAGGGTATAAACCTCCAGCACAGCCCCAGGATCTCTTCCTCCAGCTGGCCCCCATCTCTTAAAGGCTTTATGATCTCCCAAAACCATATCACTAGCTGGAGACCAGGTGTTAAAGCAATGAACCTAGGGGTGCATTTGACATCCAAACCAAACTAGCCTATCTCATCAGCAATCTTCAGACACAGAAAGAAGGAAGCCTACAGGTCCTCTGGAGGTCTGGTGTTAGTGCTTGTCATTGCTTCCACCATGTTCTTTCATCCAAAGCTAATTTCAAGGCCAGCTCGGAGAAAGGAGACTTACCCCATTCCTTTTTTGTGCAAGGCCTTGCAAAGGTTGTGGATATAGGAAGAAGTAGAGAAGGGGGTTTAGTTTTACAAGCCACCTATCACAAAAGCTTAGGTCACTTAAGATGACAATGTAATATAGTTACATTGTAATATAGTTAATGACATACATATATTATATATATGACTTACACGTTCTAGATGCTTTTCTGGGAACTCTGCATATATATTACTGTATCTAAAAATTACAACAACTCTATGAGGTAGATACTATACCTATCTTCATATTACAACTCAGGGAAAATGAATCATATAATTGTCAAATAATTTTCTTAAGAGCATACAGCTAGTAAATTGCTCAACCTCTCCGGCTTCAGAGGCCATAGTTTCAAATACTACCCTACACTTCCTCTTCTATAAACATCTGATCTGAAAATATCAGTATCTGTCAGTTACTTTTCCTGTTACTGTGACAAAATATTTGGCTCAGTTTAAGAAGAGATGCTTCTCCTCATGACAGGAAGGCACAGCAGCAGGCACACGTGGTCACCTTGCATCCACAGTCAGGAAGCAGAGAAATGAATGCAGTGCTAGCTTAAGGCTCACTTGAGAGAAAATGATAGAATACTTCTTGCAATAGTAACAATTTAACTGTTCAAACCATTCATGAAGAGGTCTTGCTACTGTAGGATTTGCTATGCACTAAGTTTAATTTATTCTTGCTATAATTCTAAATGAGAAAGTAAATACATAGTTCAAAAGAATTTATCTGATATAGCACTGAGATGTGGCACAATCCTTTTAAAGACATGAAAGAAAATAGAGAGTGGCTCCCCGCTGAGAGGAAAGGGCCCTGTTGCTGAGCCTTTGATCGCCCCAAGATCAACTCATTCATTGCATATCTACTAATAAAAATCTTCCCTCTTATCTCTCTTATTATGGCTTTCTAAGGGTGAAATACAGTAGCAAATGGAATTGTATGATGTGCACCATGTAGTTTCAAATTGCTACATTTTATCTGAATCATATTGTTACAGCCATGTTAGCAAAAATAATTTAAAATATTATTTGGACAGATATTTTTACAATAAAGTAGTCGCCGATGCTGAAGTTTTCATCTTTTTTGGGATAAGAGAAGACATAAAAGATGATCATAAACAAATGATGCAGAAAGCGATGCGAAGCACAGTGGTAAGATGTTTTCTCAGACCTTGAGATGACTAAGGATGAACAGTTACCTGCAAGCCCTCTAGTCCAGTCCCACATTTTATACAGGTGTGTCAGGGTAGGCTTACAACTCTCCACTGGCTTCTATTGCCCTTCAAATAAATTCCCCTTTCTGATGCCCAGAGCAAGCTGGCTAAGGAGAGTAGCCATATTGGTGAACTCTGGGTTTGATTAAGAGAACTTGACTAATTAAATACAGTGGAAGAGTGATCTAGGATTATTCCCAGCATCAACAACCTGGGATCATCACGTGCATGTGAGCACCCATACATACACATGAAAATGGAAACAGAAAATAATAAATCAATCAATGCCCCTCTCTCTGGCACCAGCCTCCCTTGCTGGCTAATCTCATGCCACCTCCTCCCTTCCTCAGCTTAGCACCGTCTCCCTTCCTTCCTCATCTTTGCTCTTTCCCTCTCTCTTCCTGTCTCCTCTGTGCCAAATTCCTTCTCATTATTTTTTTTTATGTGTACAAGTGCATTGCCTGCATGTGTGTAAGTGCATCCATGTCACGCAATGCCCGCAGAGGTCATAAGAGGGCATTGGATCCCCTAAAACTGGAGTTATGGACAGTTGTTAGCTGCCATGTGGGTGCTGGGAAGCATGTGGGTATTGGGTCCTCAGCAAGAGCAGCTGTGGACTTGACTGCTGACCCATCTTTCCTTCTCATTCTTCAAGTTTCAAAACTGACACCTTTTCTCTGGCGGTATCACTGGCTCCTGAGCCCCTGGACTCTCTCAATGTTAGCTGCCCCTGCTGTGTAGACTCCAGACCTTAAGCCTCTCTTATAAAGAATGCTTCATACTTTTTGGCAGTGTGACTTTTAGCAGGGGGGGTGGGGAGGTATTTAACCCAAGGGGACATTTAACAATGTCCAGAGTTATTTGGAAGGATGGTGCTACTGCCATTTAGCAGACAGAGGCAAGGATGCTGCTAAAATCCTTCAATGCACAGAGTTCCCCTTCACACACAATTATACTGTCCAAAATGTCAGTAATGCTGTGAATCCCTTCATAAAATAGCTTAATTAGTTTTCATTTACTATGTTAAAATCTTTGCATATCTAAATATTCCCATTATATGCCCCACGACAGTATATTTCCTACAGAGTAGGCACTTTATAGATATCAGTGAAGGTTACTAGAACTACCTACCAATGGCCCCACAGCCAAGGAAAAGTTATTCACCCTCTTCCAGCATCTAGCAGCTACCAATACCTCCTCAACTAGGGATGGAGCCTCATAAGTCCCTCCCCCATTGTGACAGAACTTTGACTGGATTGATCTTGTGTGGGACTGTGCAGGTAACCACAACCACTGTGAGTTCATGAGTGCAACAGCCATGTTAAGTCCAGAAGACAGCATTTCTCAGCATTCCTTCCCATCCTCCAGCTCTTACATTCTTTCCACCCCCTCTTCCACGGTGTTCACAGGTCCTTGAGGTGAAGGAAGTTGATATAAATGTCCCATTTATAGCTGAGTACTCACAATCACTTATGCTCAGCATTTGGACCAGTTATGAGTCAAAAAGATCCTCTGACCAAGGCTGAGAGCAACATATATCTATGAGTATAAATATAACCACTTAGGAGGCAGTTTGACAAGATGACCATTTAGCAAAACAGCTACAGAAGGTTCCACAACAGGGCCTCTTCACCCCCAGCCATAAGTTTTTGACCAGAATTTCAGTACCAGTCATGAATTCCCTCCTGTAGAGCAGGCCTCAATCCAATCAAAAAGTGGTAGGCTACACCCATAACAGTCATGCCACTGTTGCACCCATGACACAATTGCAACCACCTGGCAAGTTGGTATTGTGGCATGCAGGGCCCAGCACTGGGTAAGATCATTGATACCTTTCCCCCCCCAGCAGCCTGCAGAGCTAGCCAGCAGGAAGACATTTTCCCAATCACTTTGAGATTGGTTTCTCTGTCCTGCAACCAAAGCGTGAGGTGTCTTCAACAATAGGGTCTTACCAACTCATTATAGTGGGCAACCACATCCTCTGGGAGCAGCAACATCCACCCATGCAGAGACCTCTGTTCAAACTCTTTTTGTTTGTTTGTTTCCCCGTTGTCCCAGCAGGACTGGAATTTACTATGGAGACGAGGCTGACCTCCTGAGTGCTAGGATTAAGGATGTGCCACCATGCCCAGCTCAAACTCCCTTTAAAAAAATATTTTTTAATTTATGTATGCGTCTGTGTATACGCCATGTGTGTATGGGGGGTACCCTCAGAGGCCAGAAAGGGGTATCAGATCCCCTGGACTAGGAGTGACAGGCAGGGTGCTGGAAATCAAACTGCAATCCTCTGGAAGAGCAGCGTGTGCTGTTAACCACTGAGCCCTCTCTCTCCAGCCCCCAAACTCCTTTTTAGATTATATTTTTAAATATTTTTTGTTTATGCACATGACTGTATTGCTTGCATGTGTGTAAGACCATCCAAGTCACGCAATGCCAGCAGGGGTCAGAAGAAGGCTTTGGATTCCCTTGGAACTAGAGTTACAGATGATCGTTAGCCACCATTTGGGTACTGGGAATTGAACCCAGTTCCTCTGGAAGAGCAGCTACTGCCCTTAACCCCTAAGCCATCTCTCCAGCCCTTAGATTATATTTTTTAATTTACAAACTGATAGGTTTTCATAAGGCATCTTTATACATCCTTAGTTTTGATTAACCCAAAACTAACTCCTACCCCACCTTTCTCCACATCTCCCTGCTCCCATTCCCACTTAAACCTTTAATTCCCAGAATTCCCTGCCTGTTCTTTCATATATTATGTCTACTGTCTCCTCATGTTTTTTATTTGGGTTACAAGATTGTAGGTTTCCATATCCCTTTTTCATACACCCTTCATTTGAACCCTTCTGCCATCCCATGTCTCCAATCCCCACCCAACCCCCGCTTGAACCTTTCTACTCCCAATATTCCCCCCTCTTACTCTCTTTTTACCTGTAGTCTCTTCCCCCTTCTTAACGCATATCCCTCCGTGGCTCTTTTCTGGCTACCTGTCTTCCACAATTCCCCAGTTCAAACACACAAAACAAAGAACTGAAGCTTGGATCCACATAGGATGGAGAACATTCAGGGACAAATGCCACATATTCTCTCTCTCATATACTGTGTACACTGTGTTATCAGCTGCTACCAAAAAGACCGTGTCAAGGCCAGAACCCTTCCACATCTGCAATTCTGCATAAACTCATTAGAAAACAGCATTCTGGACTTCCCTGTGGGCTTAGTCACCCACTTTACTTGTGATGGTAATCACCGCTCCTACAGTTTCCCTCGCTTTAGAGGCAAGTAAAAGTAGATTTTGAAAGTTTTCCTTTTATGTTCTTCTGTACATTAACTCTTCCTTTTACTCCTTTTAAAAAGTTGATCAATGGGATTGCTCAGGTCACGTTTGATTCTGAGGCTGCAGTTAAAGAACTCTCCTATGACAGTCTAGAAGATTTAAACAACAAATACCTTTATATTGCTGTCATGGTCATGGAGTCTACAGGTAAGTGTGTGTATGTGTGTATGGTGTGTGTGTGTGTGTGTGTATATATATAAAACATTCTTTTGAAAAATATTCAAATAGCACATCAAGAGTATAAGTGGCTAGGTATAATGGTGCACACCTTTAAAATCTAGCACTCGGGAGGCAGAGGCAGGAAGATTTCTGTGAGTTCAAGGCCAGCTTGGTCTACATAGTGAACCCCAGGCCAGTTAGAGCTATATAGTGAGAGTCTGTCTCAAAATAAAAAATAGTGTGATTTCTACAGTTTCTTCATCATTTTTTCACAGCTAAATTTGCCTTTTATGCCATTAAATGCAGGGATTTGGGTAGCACTGTGCTACTCAGAAATCACTGGGCATGTCACTGGCTCCTTGCTATCTGAACTGCAAAAGTGAGTTGACATGTCCCAGTGGCTCTGCAGGTTATTTCACTCGAGCATCTGATGCCCCAGTGTTCTCGCCTGCTTAGAATCAAAATCAAAATGCGATTGTGTGTGTAAAAACATTTGCTAAGCTATATTGCAAATAAAAGTTACGGTTGTTACCATCATTCTGGTCTCCTGGTATTACCTGTGAAATGATTGACCAAACTAAATGCTTCCTAAGACTCAGTTTAGATGTAAAAGTCAGGAATTCTAGCTAAAATTAAAGGTAATGCTTTAAAGTGACTAGCAATATAGATGTCATAGGGTTATGATAAGGATCAAATAGTATATGCAAAGTACCCAAAGAGTGCTCATCCCTCGTTGGATGCCATCAGAGTGTTAGCCTCCCGGGCTTCCTCTCTTCTTCCTCTTTCTCTTTCCTCCTTCACAAGGGTTTAGCTACTATGCCCTTAGCATGCTTAATTGACATCTTGTTGACTGCTCTAAAGCCCCTTCCAATGGTAATTTTGTTTGGTTTCAAGACAGATGCTTACTGTGTAGCCCAGGCTAGCCTCAGACTTAACAACAAACCTCTCAACCTCAGCCTCTTAAATGCTAAGATTAAAAGCATGTGTCACCACACGCTCAGCACACTTGGTTCCAGTGCTGTTTGTGTGAAACCAGGTCTCCCTGTAGCCCCAGCTAGCCTGAAACTCGCTATATAAACCAGGCTGGCCTCAATCTCAGATAGATCTACCTGCCTCTGCCTCCCAAGTGCTGGGATTAAAGGCATGTGCCACCATGCCGGGCTGGCTCCAATTGTAATGAATAGTTATTAATTACTATTCCAAGTTGAGTCCTCTCACTTCTAATATATCTTTAGGACTGATGTTATTTCCTATTTTCAGGCTCCTATCAAACCCCCAACTAACCTTGAATAAGTACTTTGTTTGTTGCTATGCTGGAGATAGAACCCACGGCCTTGGGTGGGTCCCAAGACTGGTTAAGCAAGCAATTTAAAATTAAAATATGAACCACCAGGTCATTCCTAAGGCACCATTCACCCCTAGACATGTCACCTTTGATAGTAACAGAATGAAGAGTCATTATCCAGTTTCTGAATGATGTGCCAGAGGCCCAATAGCCATTGGAGAGTAGTGACAGCATTATACTCTTTAGCCTAGCTATTCTTTTCAACATTGCAACGTTTCTTTCTTTTGTTTTGTTGCTCAATTTATTTCAAATAAACTCAACCTAAACAATACAGATGAGCTATTCAAGTAGTGTTTATAAATATAAATTTGAGTGATGTGAACTCAGCGCTAAGGCTTACAAATTAGCATCAGGTGTGTAAGACAGCAAACAAAGAATTCTGTTAGTAGAAAGAATTCCGCGTGTTGCTTCAAGCAAAGAGTATAGTGCTATTGACCTTCAAATGGAGGCAAGCTTCTCAATAACTGCAGAGTAACCAACAACAGTGTTAGAAAAATGATCAGCCTTGGGCTAGAGAGATGGCTCAGCAGTTAAGAGTACTGGCTGCTCTTGCAGAGGACCCAGGTTCAATTCCCAGTACCCACATGGTGGCTAACAACTGTTCCTAACTCCAGTTCCAGGGGATCCAACACTGTCTTCTGACCTCCTTGAGCAAAGCACAACATGGGTACACTTGCACACATGCGGGCAATACACACACACAAACATAAAATAAAGTAATAAATAAAATATTTTTTAAAAGATGATCTGTCTTGAAGGAAAAGTGGGGTTTGGAGGCAGGAAGAGTAGGTGGAACAAAATGGATCTCCCTGCATAGAGAGGCCAGCCTGAGGGGGTAGACAATGAAGCTTTGCCTTTGAGGGCAGCAGATGATCTAGTGTAACTGCAGAATACAACATGTCATGAGGTCGGGGAGGATTCAGGATGGAAGACTGGAAAGAGGGTTGAAGAGAGAGGAGATTTTTGTATGATCCTTAATGTTATTTAATTTTTAATTGCAGGGTAAGGCTCTTATACTCTTTCAAGTAGGCCTTCACGTTCTTTCTGCATCAAACTGTCTGACTCTCCATTTCTCCCCAGATCCCTGCACTCTAACTGGAACACCTGTTGAGGCTTAGCCTCTGGCTTCCCTGTTTCCTCTCTCCTAATTCCTTTTCTGAATTGAAACTCAAGCCACTGCTGAAAGGTGGTACCCTCCTTCAGACCCTCAGGCTAGTGCTCCATCCCGATTTCCACAAGGGTGCCTTTCTACTATAGATTATGGAAACTCCTGATTCTTGTCTGCACTCCCCCACTGCTGAACTAAGAACCCTATCCCATTTACTGTTGGCTAATAAACAAAGGCAAGAATGGTTGAGGAAATGAGTAAGACTATGGTACACAAATCAAATAGAAAGCCTACAGATTGCCACCTTTCTGAAAATGTTACCATGATGCTTGAAATGTTACCATGATGCTTGAAATGTTACCATGATGTTTACCTTTTCTCAGGTGGATTTTCTGTAGAGGCAGAAATACCCGGCATCAAATATGTCCTCTCTCCCTACACTCTGAATTTGGTTGCTACTCCTCTTTTCTTAAAGCCTGGGATTCCATATTCCATCAAGGTAGGTAGAGCCAAAGGAATACTGAATAAAGTGCACAGAGCGTGGGAAGGAAAGCCTTTTCAGAACTGTTATGATTTAAACGATGCAATGATCACTGCTGGGTAGGGGAGAGTAGATCTTTTTTAAGAACGTGTCTCTAGGTATACTAAGTAGACTCCAGTGGATGAACTTGCACTGAAGGTCATCTAGGTACAAAAGCTTGACCAGATAGGATTTAACATATATGACAGAATCATGAAATCCAGTGGGGGTTCCATAGGGAGCATGGATGGGGGAGCTAACTTTGATTAAGATCTATTATATGAAATGCACAAAAACTCAATAAAAATGTTTTTAAAAAGACACAATGAGCTTACCTTCAAGTTCTGCGAGGTAATCAAGGACTGTGGCAACAGCCTGTGTAATTTTAGGAGTCTCTAGGACTGTCCTGACCAACAACTCAAAGGGAGATTTCTCCTGTCTGGCACTGTTCCTTGTTATGTAGCCTTCATCTATATACACGCACTCACATATAGATGGTATATGTGTATTTTTCAGTAGACTTCTGAACTAATATATTTCCCTCCTGTTTTTCATACCAGCTAAGCATTACCTCTCCTCTCTCCCTGTCTAACCTCCCCCCTCCTTCCCCAATTGAAACAACCCAATTTTCCCCATTTCCCCCTTGATAATACCTATCTCCTCTGATCCCCCCTCTCTTGACTGCCTTCTTCCCCTCTACTCCCATGGTTCCTTGTGTAACCATCCCTCTTCCCCTCCCAGTTAGATACCCCCATTTTACCCATTTCACCCTTAATAACACCTACTGAAATGGATCTAAACTGTTCTGGCCAACAGGTACAGGTTAAAGATTCGCTTGACCAGTTGGTAGGAGGGGTTCCAGTAACTCTGAATGTACAAACAGTCAATATGAATGAAGAGACATCTGACTTGGAACCAAAAAGGAGCATCACAAATGCCCGTGATGGAGTGGCCTCATTTGTGGTTAATCTCCCATCTGAAGTGACGGCACTGGAGTTTTATGTAAGCTGAATGCTCCTGCTGTATTTCCTAGAACAGTGTGCACTTTTGACTCTATGTTTTGGCTAGAGTGCAGAGCAGATGGGGCTGATTTTGTCCACAAGTCCAAAGAACAATTCCATAGTTTTGCACCCAAAACAAAATGAGTATCAAAGGTGATCTGCTAATTTAGTGAATAGTCTTGGAGGAAAATAAATGTTGATTTATTGTTTGGAAATTCTTTCAAAAGATGATAAAAGAATTCATAAATTTAAGATTAGGCAGAGCAGTGGAGATAGGCACTGGAATATCCCCTTCCTACACATGTGCTTTATATCTTTTAGGTCACTAGAGAGTCAGATGTGAACGCCTCCCTTTTTCCAATACACAAACCACTTTCTTTTAGAGCGCACTTAATCATCTTCTTAACTTTACACTCTCAACTAAAATATGAGTAAGCCAATAACTCAGGTCCCTGGCATCTCCTGAGCCCTTAGTAAGAACACAGGCACTGTGCAAAGAGCTGAGGGGCATGTTAATCAGTAACATGAGCCAGATAGAGTTATCTTTGCTATTTTGTAGTTAGAAAAATGTTTCTAGCTTCTCTTTTGACTAAATAATATATCTGGAACTAATAAGTGGTGGCACTGGGATGCAAACCAATACAGATGAGCTGGAAACCCTTCTATTGGCCCCAAAGCAGATATCGATGTCCTGTTGCCAGCTCTGCCCCACCCCGAGTTTATGAGCACTCCTGTGCCACAACTTCCCAATGAAATGAGCCAGACAGTCACTGTGATGTGATTCCTAACTCCTGCACCCCCAATCCTCAAGAGTTAGTGCTGCCTCCCTATCACTTCTGCCCTCAATTCCTAGCACCTCATGTCCTAGAAAGACAAGTCCCAATTTACCAAGCTACTTCAGGAAGCGTGCCCATAGTTCCTTGGGGCATCTTTCCCTCTGCTTCATCAGACTCTTCCACACGACCCACACTCCCCTCAGTTTTTCCATCATCTTTGTAAAGCCCCTTGACAGCAGCCATACAAACACTGGAGTGATCGAGGTTCTCATTTCCTTTGGCCTTTGGCATTGTGAAATTTAGGAATTTGTAAAGAGAAGGATTTACACGATATGTTTTACAGAAAGCATTACTCACGGTCCACATAGGGTTTTACATTTTTTCCTTTTCAGGTCAAAACCGATGCCCCAGAACTCCCAGAAGAAAATCAGGCCAGCAAAGATTACCGAGCAGTTGCATACTCATCTCTCAGCCAAAGTTACCTCTATATTGGATGGTCTGAAAACTATAAACCCATGCTTGTGGGAGAATATCTGAATATTATTGTTACCCCCAAGAGTCCATATACTGATAAAATAACTCATTATAATTACCTGGTAAGTACAAAGATGAAAGATTCACATCCTACCCCTATTTTTGGTTATTGATAAAGAAAATACAACTTTGCATTCATATTTACAGAGTGTTCTAGTTAACTTCTCTATTGCTATGACAAAATGCTATGACCAATACCAACTTAGGGAAGAAAGGTTTATTTGGCTTATATCTCCCGGGTCACAGTTCCTTACCAAGGGAGCCCAAGATAGGAGCTCAGGGCAAGAACCTGGAGGCAGGAGCTGGCACATAGGCCATGGAGGAACACTCATAGTAGCTTGCTCCCCTGGCCTATGTTCAACCTGCTTTCTTATACAATACAGGACAACCTGCCCAGGGGTGGCACCTCCCACAGTGGGCTGGGCCTCCCACATCACTCAACAATCAAGAAAATACCCCACAGACATGGCCACAGGCCAGTCCAATGGAAGCAATTCCCCAACTGAGACTCCCTCTACCCAGGTGTGTCAAGTTAACACTTAAAGCTCTCCAGTACACAGTTGTTTTCAAGAATAGCACCAAAACAAATAGCAGCTTTTCAAAAGACTCTGGGATGGGGCATGATTTTCAAGATGATTTCAAAGATTAGGAAATTGTGCAACAGAGGAATTATAGGATGAATCGTGGCCATGCAGTTCAGGAAGCGAAGATTTTTATTTGAACTGAAGACCTCTGGTTTTCAATCTAACGATTCTTTTCACCAATGAGAGCTGATCTAACCATGTCACCCCTGTTCTAAAACCAAAGATTACTTACCTATACCTGCTCTAGCACAAATATAAAAGAAAAAAGGAAGGAAGGAGGGAAGGAAGAAAGAAAGAAAGAAAGAAAGAAAGAAAGAAAGAAAGAAAGAAAGAAAGAAAGAAAGAAAGAAAGGAGAAAGGAAAAAAGAAAAAAACAACCCAAATTCTGCTCTTAAAAAATTGAGTTATAAGCCGGATGTGGTGGCACACACCTTTAATCTCAGAACTTGAAAGGCAGAGGCAGGAAGATCTCTGTGAGTTCAAGACCAGCCTGGTCTACATAGTGAATTCCAGGCCAGCTGGGGCTACAGGGAGACCCTGTCTCAAAGAGACCAAAAAAAATTGAGTTATAGCCTGGTGTGGTGGCACACACCTTTAATCCCAGCACTCGGGAGGCAGAGGCAGAGGGGCAGATGGAGCTCCATAAGGTCAAGGCCAGCCTGGTCTACATAGTCAGTTCCAGGCCAGCTGAGACTACAGAGGGAGACCCCATCTCAAAAAGACCAAAAAAATTGAGTTGGAGAGCAGGGGAGATGGTTCAGTGGTTAAAGTACTTGCTGAAGAAGCATGAGGATCCCAGGAGCCCATGTAAACTTGGGGAAGGCATACATGATGGTGCACCTGTAGTTCAAGACTTGGGGATCCCATTGCAGAAGAGGGGGCAGAAAGACTGTAAGAGCCAGGGCTGCTTCATGAACACAGGAAAGTGGAGGCTTCTAGGCCACTGGAAGCTTGCTCATGTGAACTTGTGGCAATGGTGACATTGAGCACAGGACCCATGTTAACTCAATTAAACAAGGGCCCAAAGGAGAGGAGAGAAATATGTGGCGGGCCAGCCCTAGACTGAGAACTATTGAAGACTGATTGCTGCTGGATGAGGAAGAGTATGACTTACATACAATCTCTAGATGGGCTGATCAGACTCCAGTGGACACATTTACACTGAAAGACATTTGGGTACAAATGCCTGAATAAATAGGACTTAACATGTATGGCAGAGTACAAGGTTCAGTGGGGTATGGGGGGAGGCATGGATGCAGGAGAGGGTCTAAATTTGATTAAGAACTGTTGTATGAAATTACAAAAGCTCAATAAAAAATATATCTATAATTTTAAAAAAAACAGCAAAAAACAAAAAAACTTGGGGATCCCCAGAACAAGGTGGCTATCGAGACTAGCCATATCAGTGAGCTCTGGGTTTGATTGAGAGACCCCGCCCCAATGAATAAAGTGGAAGAATCATCAGGATGATTCCCAACATCACACATTTGCCCACACACATGAAAATATGCACAACATACACACAGACACAACACACACACGAGCATGCACACACACACACACACACACACACACACACACACACGAAAATGGAAGAAAAAAAGAATTGAGTCATATCATACCTGTTCCAACTCTACAGCCAGGAACATTCATATTGCACCATTTCTATTAAGCGGGAGGTGCCTCAGTCCAGTGTGTTGGTGAAACCTAGGAAAGAAGGTTCAAAAAATGTCAGGGGCTGCCTAACAATTGCCAAAGAAGTGGAATGATTATTCCAGCGGCCAGACCAAATAAGTGATGGCTTTCTCAACATTTAAAAAAATATTTTATTTATTATTTTTATTTTATGTGTATGAGTATTTGCCTGCATGTATGTGAGTGCACCCGTGTCATGCAACACCGTGGAGGTCAGAAGAGAGCTTCTGATTCAGTGCTCTTAACCACCGAGCCATCTCTCCAGCCCCAGGTTTCTCAACATTTTAAAAGAGAAATTGAAAAACGAATGAGGACTTTAGATGAAGAATCGGGGAAACTGTGTCTGGGCTATTTATGATGTCTGCCATCCTGCACTCATGAACAACATAAAGGCCATTGAAGGTACTATGGTTTCTTATGATTTTGTTTATAAACTTAAGTCTCTAATTCAGAATCTAATCCAAAGCTTTAAAACTTAATCCCCAAATAAGACATCCTATATTTGTTCATCTGTTTTTCTTTTTCATTTCAGAAAACAAAACAAAAGAGGCTTTAGTGACTGAACAGATCTAGTCTCAAATTTAACTCTCTAATTCCCTACTTGTGTGATTTTTAAACTAAAATCAGCTTGATATTTAATTAGTTTCTGAGCCTTAGAATATATTTCAGACAGCATGTAATATTCCTGTCTCCTGAGTGTGTTGTAAGAATTAAAGACATAAAGCAAGCGTAAAGTAGGAACATGCATGCTACTTTTACTTTTCTTCAATGTAATTTCTGCTCCAGCTCAAAATTGCACCCTGGAATATAGGTTGTGTTTTGGTTTTGTTGATTGCTGTTGCTGTTTATTTTCAGATTTTATCCAAGGGCAAAATTATACACTATGGCACAAGGGAGAAGCTTCAATATTCATCCTATCAAAATATAAACATTCCAGTGACACAGAGCATGGTTCCTTCAGCCCGGCTTCTGGTCTATTACATTGTCACTGGAGAACAGACAGCAGAATTAGTGTCTGACTCAATCTGGTTGAATATCGAAGAAAAGTGTGGCAACCAGCTCCAGGTGAGATGCACTTTGTACATCATGGTCGAATTTTCTTGTGACTGAGGAGGCTGTCGGAGCAGTTCTAGCTAAACAGTTTTGCCTCACACAAACTATTGTTTCTTTTTCAAATGACTTTTTAGGTTCGGCTGTCTCCAGATTCAGATGTCTATTCTCCAGGCCAAACTGTATCCCTTAATATGGCGACTGAGGCAGAGTCATGGGTGGCACTAACAGCAGTGGACAGTGCTGTATATGGAGTCCAGGGAAGAGTCCAAAAGCCCATGCGAAGAGTTAAGTACAATTCCACGGTGACTGTGGGTTGGGGTGCCTCAGTGCAGGGCTTTATGAAAGTATGGACACCAGAGCAAGTTGTGGGGAAGTTCTTAGGAAGGTAAGTCAGTGCTCATGGTAGGTCCCACAGCTCAAGTCAACAATCATTTTCTTTCTTTTTCAAAATAAAGGTACAAACACCTTAAACACGTGGAACTATGGGTGTTGTCGCATTCATAGGACAAAAGTGCCATCAGCCAGGAGAGTTTGAGGATTTGGGTCAGGGGTGATGGCAACTGTAGACATAGCCCAAGAGAACTCTGGGTAGGAAAATGGGAAATTACTGAGTTCAAGATGCAGAGCAATTTGAAAATGATTCAAATCCCCCATTCTAGTTCCACTCAGCTATTACTTCTAGACTTCGATTTCTTTCTAGAAGAAGGAAAAAATGAAGAAATTACTAAATTAAAAACATTAAGAGAAGAAAGGTCATTTGAGGTCAAAATTAAAATTCAGGGCTGGAGAGATGGCTCAGCGGTTAAAAGCACTAGCTGCTCTTCCAGAGGACCAGGGTTCAGTTCCCAGCACCCACATGGAAGCTAACAACCATTCATACCTCCAGTTCCAAGAGATCAAATGCCTCTTCTGGCTTCCATGGGCATTACACACACATAGTACACTTATGCAGACAAAACACTCATACACATAAATTTTTTTAAAAATTAAAAAAAGAATAAACTTCCTGTAGCATTTTCCCACTCAGAACCTAAAGTCCTCCCCTAAAAATGTAATAGGTTGTACTTTTTTAAAATTAGTAACTTAAAATTAATGTGTTTGTTAATTCACTCCTTTGTGCCTTCCCACACTGATTTAACCATTTATCTATGATATTTATTATAGCATGTATTCTATATGTAATATGTCCTGAGTTCATTTCTAAGAACCTCTCATCAAAACTATACACTTAGGACTTTGTTCTTGGTTAAATTTTGAATAGGTAGGCTTTAACAAAAACAAAAGGACCAGCTGATGGAATGAAGTTGGGAAACATGGATATATTAATCAGGGTTCTGCAAAGGAACAGAATGAGGGAAGGAGAGATGGCTGCTCTTGCAGAGGACCCAGGTTCTGTTCCCAGTGGGCGCATGGCAGCTAATAACCATCTGCAACTCCAGTTCCAGGGGATCCAATGCCCTCTTCTGGCCTCTGTGGGCATTTCACACACAGGTGCACTTTTTAAAATGTAGGCAAACACTCATACACATAGAATAAAAAAAATTTTTAATTCTTTAAAAGAACTGACAGAATGAATATATATTCTAAAAGAATTTATTAATCAGTTTTACTTCAAGTTGTAACCACTGACTCACCTGAGAGCTCAGAACGTGGTAGTCACTTGGTCCCTGAGGCTGGGTGGTGCCTCAGCAGCTGTCACAGAGAGGCTGAAACCCTGGTAGTTGCTCAGACCACAGGGCTGGGTGCCTCAACACTCCCAACCTGGTGCCAAAAGCCTGGCGGACTCCTGGCAATCTGGTGATCCGTACTCAGTGATGAAAGCCTGGAAACACTAGTTCTGATCTCAGCAAAGGAAGCAGCAGCAGCAGATAAATCCACTCAGTACCAAGTGGGAAGGCCAACCAAGTAAAAGGCAAATAATCCCCCTTCTGCCATGCCCCTTTTTATCTGGGCCACTACCCGAAGGTCCCACCCACATTTAGGGTGGGTCTTCCCATATCAATTAAGACAATTCTTCAGGTGAGGATCCCTACTCAGGTGATTTTAATTTGTGGCAAGTTGCCATTAAAACCAGCCATCACAGTGGCCTTTGGTCATTTGGTGAATGAATGCTCCCTTTATTTCGCAGGTTTGTTATACTCATGAAATGACTGGTAGCTTTAATCCTTTGAAAGAATAGGCTCAACAGTTTGCCTTTCTGAACAGGTGTTTCAAGCTTTAGAGAAGAATGACCTGGGATGTGGGGCAGGTGGTGGCCGTGATAATGCAAATGTATTCCACCTAGCTGGACTCACCTTTCTCACCAATGCAAACGCAGATGAGTCCCAAGACCATGGTAAGATACTGGACATTTTTATTACTGAAATTTACATTGATCATATACCTCTCAGACCTCTTTTTTGTTTCTTTTCCAGAATATTCCTTTTTAATACTTATTTCTGTTTTATGTGTATGTGTGTTTTCCTGCATAAAGGCATCAGATAATCCCTAGAACTGGAGTTACAGACAGTTGCCAGCTACCATGTGGGTGCTAGGAACCAAACTCCAGTCCTTTGTAAGACCGGCAAGTGCTCTTACCTGCTGAATCATGTCTCCAGGCCCCAGAATATTCCCTACCCTGATCTAAGACTGCCATGACTCTAAAATGTTTCATTAGGGGGTGGTGAGATGGCTCAGTCAGGGAAGTGCTTGCTGTACATGAATGGGGACCTGAGTTTAGATTTCCCAGCATCCACATAAAAGCTGGGTATGGTGGTACACAACTGTAACCCTACCCCTGGGGGTGTGGAGACTAACAAATCTCCCAAGCTCACTGGCCAACCAATCTAGCCAGTCAGGAAGTCCAGGTTCAGTAACACCCTGTCTCAGAAAATAGGGTGAACAATAGGCGACATTAGACATTGACCTCTGACTTCCACATGCAAGTCAAGTGCACATATACCAGCACGCACATGCACATACACATACACAAACAAACACACACACACACACACACACACACACACACGTTTAAAGATGTTTCATTGACTTTCAAGATAAAATGCAAAGTCGTTAGTGTGGTGCTCAACACCTCCATGACCTTCCTGGCTCTTTCTAGCTGTATGTCATCCCACTCTTCCCAGCCTTTTGTGTAGTTAACGTTTCTTAACCTTGGCCGGCACTGTGCAATTTTATACCTTTGGGGCTTTACTCGTGGAAACTGCTTTCCCCTTTATAAGCCCAGAGAAGCTGGTTAAGAATTATCTCCTGGGCTGGAGAGATGGCTCAGCAGTTAAGAACACTGACTGTTCTTGCAGAAGACCCAGGTTCAAATCCCAACACTCACATGGCAGCTAACAACTGTCTGTAACTCCAGTTCCAGGGGATCCAACAGCCTCTTCTGTCCTCCTCGGGCATTGCATGACATGGGTGCACTTACCTACATGCAGGCATACACATAAAATAAAAAAGTAATGAATAAAATATTTTTTTAAAACCTGCCTTTCATCTCATCTTTAGCCAGAAGATGATATAAGGAGGGAAACAAAGGCGGTCAGTCATTCTAAAGTTCAGTCTTGCCCTCTGGTCAGGTGGTCACCCTTGTCTCTGAGATTCATGTTACCAGTACGTCTGTGTCTCAAAAACAAATAAACAATCTTCTCTTTGGGGCCTCTTCTCTGTTTAGATTTAATCATGTACTCCTCCATTAATAGGAAGAATATCAAAGGAACAAAATCTATTCATATGAAATGTGACCTTGGACCAGTGCACACTCTCACACCATCTGTGTCTTGTCCCACCTCCTGCACTCAGAGTTCTTCAAGAGCAGAGATCGCATAGCAATGACCTTCCTTCTACAGTTTTTAAAGTGTTCATGCTTGTACCTGATATCATGGTATTCATATTTATATTTATAATAATGTGGCTCAAAGAACAAATAAGAGAATTAGGATTGGTAAGATGGCTCAGAGGATAAAGGTGCTTGCCACAAAGTCCAACAATTTCAGTTCAATCCCTGGGGCCCACATTGTAGGAGAGAACTGATTCCTGCAAGCTGTCCTCGGACCTCCACACACATGCCCTGGCATTCACACGCACACATGTGCGCAAGCACATACACAAATAAAAAAGTAAATAAATAAAATTAAAGAGAAATACCTCAACAAAAACCTGTCTTCTTTTA